AGGAGGGGGAGGGGTCAATGGTTTCCTAGCAGACGAGCAAGTTGAGGGAAGAACTGTTTCTGGTGTAATCATTTGGAGCTTATCAGACTTGAACTTCAAACATCTATTTTGTGGATAAGTTCACTATCTAGTCCAGTGTTCTGAAGTCAAACTGTCATCATTCCTTTCAACTAACACCCACTCTGCTCGTTTGCTGGAGATGCAACCCCAATTATGTTGAAAAGCCGCAGTTCATGACAAAGTTAAGAAACTAATACACCTACGTAAGTATGATCCAGTTTACTTTTAGTAATTTTTGTTGCATTTGCAACAAAATAAGATCATATAAGATTAGAGGTGTTACAAGAGAGTTACAACACAAAAAAGAAGGAGGAGAGATCAGAACGATAGATGTTTGATAGTAAAGAAGGAGCAAACCACACCAGAGCACCTGCCAACCACCTACAAATATTATAATCCAAATCAAAATTGTAATATACATATTATTTGTCAAAAACGTATTTGGTTTTCAAAATGAAGACATGAAAACTGAGTTGCATCGTTTCCATTTAGTTCTTTTCCCCTTTCCGCGGCTAGTATTCCATACAGACGTATTAAGTCATTTTTTGGTGGCCCTTGAGATGCGTCTGTATGCAATGCTGCCTGCGTGATACAACATTGATCGATTTTTGCCTCTGGTTCGGTTCAGAACTATGGAATTTATCTCTGAGTTTTTTTCATGCCCCCTCTATAACGCCAGAAGGCACTCTGTTTGAAAAGGGCCCAGTAAAAGAAAGGAATTACAGAACAAGGCAACTGAGCAATGATCGCCTTTCATGTGATTTTTTCCACGTTTAAAGCAATCATTATGTTATAAAGTTTTACGCCCATCACATGCGCTTTTAATTATATGAATTTGACAAATTCTTTGAAACTTTTTTTCACCATCATGCTTTGTAAACAAGAGACGGTGCTCTCTAATCAGGAAATTTATTGCACTGTTAATGTAATGAGGCCATTACAAAGCAATCTCTTAGCTCTGGATTTCCCCGCAGGTAAGAATACTTTGAAATCTTACGAAGAAAGACATTCCATACTTGCAGTATTCAAACGTGTGCTTTTTCGAGAAAAAAAACCTCACTTTGTCTGAGACTGTGTCATGTAATACTAATTGTTATTTTCCCTCCTGTCAAAGACCTAGATCTAGCTTTTTTGAAATACTCGGGGTGTTTTAGTTCTTTTGAAGATTCACCTCTTTATGCATACAAATTAATGATTCTCCCCTTTTCGTGAGAGCGTCATGATTTCATCCCTTTTACCCCCCCCCCCTCCCCATCCCTCCAAAAATACGACCCCCGCGGAAAAAAGGCGTTGATCTCAACACGAACCCCATGGCAACATTTTTCGCTTTTCAGTCTTGAAGCCTTCTTATAAAAAAGTAACCCTAGGGAGGAAGCTTTAATGAGTCCTAATTGCCAACGTCATACGCCCGAGAGTGTGTTAGCCCATTACAGAGTAAAAACTCATGGTTTTGTGTTGGTAAGTCCTTTCATGACAGTAGTTTGGAAAACAGCACTCTCGAAGCTTGAATAACTATTTCATATTATTGTTATGGTACAAAAACTGCAGCGAAGAATAACAAAAATCATCCTGGGAAAGGACAAAAACGAACTTCTGTCATATACCAACAGACACGCACAAATGTTCACAAATAACACAATTTTACTAGAGGCTGTATTTGCGAATTACAGTACTGCTTTCTTATTATTTAATTGTTGTCCCACTTCCTTTTCTTTGTATTTTTCCCTTTTTTTCCTAATTGTCTTTTCGACAGACATTCCTTGTATAACAATCTTCGGCTATTACAGTTTTAGAAATAAGCTTTAATCCTTGTATAAATATTGACAATATCACAAAAACTCATCTTTATGATCTCCCAGATACCGCTTTGAGTCGACCAAAAGCAGCGATGCGTACAGTTTTGCAATTGTGCTACAAGAGATCTTCATACGAGAGCACCCTTATCACGAACTTCAAGGAAGGTAATGGGAAAGAAAAATAAATGATCTGTAGTCATAACATAGTGCCCAACGACTGGCCCTCGTGTTTAACTCCTTTGTCCGTGTTTCAAGACGGGTCAAGAGGAAGCTCAACCAACATATTGCACAAAAACTAAAGAAACTTAGGGGCTCGTGAGATGACTTGTAGTTAGTAGCATATTAAAAAAGAAACACGGTTTAAAATAGGATTGTTAAAAATGAATCGAAGTGGGTGTTGTACCAGAATCAAAGATAATGAAGGTGCACTGGCCAATACTTCTAATGTTATGTCTTAGAACACAATTTATTAATTTTTCCACATCACATTGCACTGTATCACGTTGTAGTGGTGTTTTTCACACTACATGTACTTGGAGACGCACCGCTCCACATTGGCGCGGACAGGCTCGTACCCTTTCACACCGCCCATAGCAGATAACGAGACACGCACACGCACGCACACACACACACACACACACACA